GGCTTTCCCCCTTGGACGCGATATTCTTGAAAAAGACTAAGGCAAAAAGTGAATGGGCAACCTATAAAGAGTTGCTCATGGAAGTAGAACAACAAATGAAATTGAAAAGCTTTGAGGACATAAGACATTTAGTAACAGACTAGTTGCAATATCACCAATTAAATGATGTGTTTAAAATGGATAAGAAAAATGGATTTAGTTAGGAAATTTCAAGATTTGAAAAAAAAATTATTGGAAAATAATATGAAGTTACTTTCTAAAATATGTAAATTGTTACTAGGGTGGCATACTAAGGATGACGAACTTAAATCAGTAATGATACAATGGGCACAAGATATTGGGCACAATATCCAATTTTCATCTCGGGAAAAGTTATGGAGGGATGACTTAAAATTTACAGCATGCTGTGCGTTGAAGGAGAACTATATGAAAATGATATATCGGTGGTATTTAACACCTACAAAATTAGCTAAGATGTATAGAACTGCTTCAAATGTATGTTGGAAATGTAAGGAGAAGGAAGGCACATTCTACCACATGTGGTGGACATGCAATATGACAAAAGCATTCTGGGAAATGATATATAATGAGTTGGGGGGAAATGTTTAAAACAACATTTGTGGGAAAACCAGAGGATTTTTTACTAGGAATTTTAGGTGCGGAGATACCAAAGGAGCAGAGACGATTATTTATATATGCAACAACAGCAGCGCGGATACTACTGGCCCTGAAATGGAAAGAAGATAAAGTCCCGACCCGAGATGGACTACGCTGAAATGGTGAAATTGAATGGGAAAATCAGAAACCAGGAAGAGAAGAACTTTAAAAAGGAATGGGAAAATTTTATATTGTACTTAAGAGAACACTGTAAACAACTAAAACCTTCGGTAGGATTCGAGTAAAAATGTTTTAAATAAGAAAAATAGAGAAAGTTAGTGAAGCAGTGGGAAAAGTTTGAAAATGGAAACCATGGACGGGTGGAGGGGAGTCAAGGGATTCAGGGAATCCTAAATGATGGTGGTGTTTATTGTTTGAATTTAAATTTGCAATGTAAAACTCAATAAAAAATATTTTTTAAAAAAGAATATAACTTACTCAGCATAATAATACAAAGCATAATGATAACAGCCCCCCCCCCCCGCATTTAATAGGACATAGATAATTTAATGGCTGAAGGCTTGGGTAAAGAGAAATGTTTTTACCTGGTGCCTAATATATTTATGTATCTGCTTTAGCCTCTGTCTTACATTTATGCAAGCAAACTGCTTAGAGGGGTGTTTTCTACAGCATAGATTTTCTTGTTTATTTTGACGATCAACAATCTTGTTAAATAAAATAAAGAAAAAGAAATCAGTACAAATGCTCAACAAGCAGGTCATCTGAAGAAGCACTCAACATGAACCTGAACAAATTTCATAGTTTGTTCAGTAACAAACTTTTCCCCCTGTCACTAAATACTGGGAAGAAGTAACCATCTTCTCCTTTCTTGTGGTTTCTTCTGTAAGTTTCACCATCTGAATTACAGCTAATGATTTCTAAGAAAAGAAGTGCAAAGGAAAGCAAGTGATTTGAAACCCTTCACTTCCGCATGGGACAGTTTTGCAAGAATCAAGTCTGCAATGTGTACTCAGTAAACCAGCAGAGAGAACTGCTGCTTGGCAAGACAGTCCTCCTTTTTCCTTTTCCTAAAACATGGATATATTGGGGGGGGGGGGAGGCAATTGGCCATTTAAGTATTTTTATTTATTTACTTGATTTAGGGGGCCTTCCCTGGCTATGTCCATGCCCTGACACCTGTATCCCAGTGCAATGGATATTGGGAGAAAGGTTGTAGCAGAAAGGCCACAAATCAAGGACAACCCATCAGAATTAGCAGCCACAAGAGGAACACAGTAACAGCGGATTTAAAGAACATTACAAAGGATTCTGGGAAACACATTTAGCAAGTTCAACGGCTTGGGTCTTTTTCAGAATGAGGATCAGAAACTTGCTTATTGTTTCACTTCCCGTCTCTCTCCCTTCCAACTCCTTTTTGTACATTTCTTACGAAATCGCTGAATTTAACCCTGGCTTCCCTCTTAATGACTATTCCTTTCTAACTCTCCTCTTTTGTTGCGCTATCTGCCATAATGATGTGGCTGCGTGCAGGTGCCTGCACACCTATGCAAGCATGTGAGAGAATAAGCCTAGGCATGCTTTTCTCCCAAGTAAGTCCTTACTTTCTCCTTTAGGGCTTACACCCTAATAAGTGTAGTTAGGATGTGCTTCCATTAAACAGATGAATTATATTTCTTTTTAAACTTTAATAATTATTGCTAGATTTTGCCTCTGGTACTGACACACATGACGTAACAGGCTGTATGTAACAGTATAACTTCTATTTCAAAAAACAATTCAACATATCATGCCACAATATGTAATTCCATAGACCAAATTATCATATGAGTGGAACATATTCTGAGAGATTAAAGTCCAGTGGATTGATCAGGAGATACAGTCTATTCAGTTCTTATATTAGCAATAACCACGATGTGGAATGCTTATTTCAATCTTGTAGTGTTCCACGTGTCGATGCTTTTGAGAATTCTAGCATTCCTTGTAAGTAGGTATCAGATGAAAAACTTGAAAGTATGGCACATGGAGAAAGTAATACAAGGATTCCAGGATAATTCCTTGTTTTGCCCAACCGGGCTTCGGCAGCCGTGCATACCCTGGATTATATAAACGAACATAATGTAATGTAATTTTATATAAAACTAAGTAACATAACATAAACATTAAACAATAAATTTACATACTATATTCTTGTGTACCAGAAACATGGAACATGGAACATAATGGATTCAGTCATCACAATAACTGACCAGAAGTTTCTTTATATGAAGAGAGGAAATATTGACTCCAACTGTTCATAAAAAATGAGCATGTGCACATATCATAGAATCATAGAATTGTCCCTTGGAAGGTGCTCATGAGGGCCATCTAGCCCAACCCCCTGCAATGCAGGAATCTTTTGCCAAATGTGGGGCTTGAACCCACAACCCTAAAATTAAGAGTCTCATGCTCTGCCCCCTAAGCTGTAAACATGTGTCTTATTTTGTCCTCTTCTTTGGTGATCTTTAAGTGGCTGTCCTATCCTCCACTTGAGCTCTTAAGTAGCATTGAATCAAGAAAAGGAAGCGACCTTTTATCATATGTGGTGGGAATGTAGAGAGATTAAAAATTGGGAAATGATATATAATGAATTGAAGAAAATGTTTAAAATGACATTTGTAAAAAAAACCCAGAAGCATTTCTGTTAGGGATTGTAGGACAAGACCTGCCAAGAAAAACAAAGAATTTATTCATGTATGCTACAACAGCGGCAAGAGTATTGATAGCACAAGGATGGAAGAATGAGGAAACCCTGACAAAGGAACAGTGGCAAGAGAAACTGATGAGCTATGCAGAATTGGCTAAACTGGCATACAAACTGCAAGATAAGGACAACTGTGACTTTAAAGAAGAATGGGAACTTTTTACAAATTACTTAAAAAGACAACAAAATGAACTGCACTCCTTGGCAGGCTTTGAATAAACATACACAAATTTATTGATCGATAATATGGTAGATAGATAATATAAAGATCTATACAATTCAATAATATGCAGAGAATAACGTGTTGAGAAATCAGAGAGAAGAGCTGAGCAAAGTCTCGGGGGGAGGGAGGGTATATTGGGGAGGGGGGAAATAATGAATATGATATATTTTTGACATTTTGTTATGTTGAAATTGCAAATAAAAACTTTAATGAAAAAAGTAGCATTGAATCATTCGCCATTTTTGCTGTGCTTTCTCTCTCCCCACTCTTCATTTTTGCCTTCCTCTGAATTTCTAGGAAATCTCTTTCCTTTTTCCATGGTTTAAGCAATTATTACATGACATGAGGCAATCCCCTCAAGTTCTTCATTGCACCATACATTTAAAGCACCACGATACCACTCCTGTTCCTCTCAGAGAACCACAATTCCAAGAGTTCCTGGTGAACAGGGATTGACTGTAAAACCACTCTGGAAGCTTGGGGCACACGCCTATGACGTAAAGTTGCCTCTGAGTATATTAGGATGACAGGTGCCTGAAGTCTCATGGGCTCTGTGACTGCATGCACACGATACATTGAAAGCACATGACTTCCCCCAAAATAATTTGGGGAACTGTAGTTGAACTAGGAGTTGTAACTGTGAGAGGTAAACCACCATTCCCAGGATACTTTGCATGGGGATCAGGTGCTTTAAATATACATTGTGTACACAGTGTGCCCAGCCACCCTTTAAGCAAAGTGAAAGAAAGAAAGAAAGAAAGAAAGAAAGAAAGAAAGAATGAAAGAATGAATTTTAAAGGGAGGGATTAGACAAGAAATCCAGAACCCTGTTCTAAAGACTCTGGGCCACATCCTAACAATTCCCAGGGCTGCAGCCTTACGAATTAGATCACTTTTTGTAAACAGAGTGAGTGAACCAAATGCCTCTAGTTCAACTTTCCAGCCTATTTAGGAACTCCTTAGGGAAGCCCCTCTCAGCCTCAGCAACCACGCAGCTCATCTGCAACTTGAGGATAATACTTACCCGACCTTGCAGGGCTGCTGCTGCAACAATGACTTTAATAATGCACGAAAAGCATTTTGAACGCCCTAAAAACAACGTTTGCGCACCTTTATCGATGCTAATAATGTTGCCTACCGGTAAGGTTGCGTCCCTCTCTTTTTCCTCACTCTATCCCTCTCCAAGCCCCCGATTTTGACAAAGCTATAATTGTAACGGTTCTGGCGAGTAGGCAAGAATGTGTTTACTGCACAAGAAGAACTCCGGGAGCAGAAAAGCAGTTCACGAACGCCAACTATCAGCTCCATTCTGCCCCCTGCTGGATCCTGGCCATTCGTTTCCAGGGAGGGAAAGGCAGGCGAAAGCTAAGCTCTAGGAGGATCCCTCGCGACCATTTGCACGGGAGACACCAAGAGAGAAGCAGAGGCGGTAAACATTATCCAGACACGGATCCTGGCGCCTTCCAAAAGGGCGAGACCAACCTTTGCAAACCCCGCATTTTGCAGGCGAGCACGACTTCATCGCAGGTGAGCTTGTCCTCCTGTTTGCATGCCCTGCTCCAACACTAGCGTGCTTTTTGGGGGGTTGGGGGAGGAAAGAGTGGCAGGTGGGGGGGGGGTAAATCTGCAGCTTAGTGGAAACCCCAAGGCAGGAGGGAAGTGTGTGCATCAGATACAGTTGAGGAAACGTCCCCCGCCCTAAAAAGAAGAAAACCCACAGGAGAATTTGACAGCTCGTGAGAAAATCAATTCCCGTCTTTGATCATCGTTGCCTTTTAAAAAAAAATAAAAAATAGACTGCTCCATATTTGCTTCCGAAGCAGCCAAGGGTGTTGCGGCAGCTTAAAGACTAGTAACAAATGTATTCTGGCAGAAGCTTTCGTGGGCTAGAGCCCATTCATCGGATTCGTGAAGTGTTCTCCGTAGTACATGGGGGAAGAGCATAACAGTGAGGTCACAGAGAAATACAAGACTGGCAGTCCAAACAGGGATAAGTACGTAGTTAACCGTGGCCGTTCACAAAACAGTTGTTGATGGTAATGCATTATCTCGACATGGACAAACTAATGAATCACAGGCCGTTGTTTTAATGAAGAAAAAAAATTAAACAGCATTAAACCTCTTAATGACTTGTTGCCTCCCTCTGCAATTCCTTTGTTCAAGGATGGACACTTTAAAATCAGTTACAAAGTGGTTGAAATGCCCAGCCCCAGTTTTTAGATATTGCCGTTACTGATGTCAGAATTGTGCGTTCTTTTGCTTGGAGACTGACTTGTTTGTCTTATGTAGAATGCAGAAGGGTATTTGCTTCTGTGCTGATTCTCTGCTGCTTTTGTCCAGTTTCGTAACAGTCCCCTTGTCAAATCACCCTCCTTTTGTGCCATGTCTTAGTCACCTCATATAATTTGGAGCACGGGTCTTGGTTTCACCCCAGTCTGAGGAGGTCTGCGCCAGAGAGATCAATGCCTTTTTAAAATGTTGTTTAAAACACAGAGGAAGAAGGAGAGAGTAGAAGAGCGACTCAAGAGTGTCAGCATTTTGTACCAGAATTTTAGCTTTGCGCATTTAGGCTGTGTACGCATTACCAGCTTAAAACACAAGTACATCCTTCTTTAGTTTCCCACCCACCCCATCCCCCCGCCCAATTCTGATCTGTGCAGCTTTGAGGGGAAATGCATCAAAATGTAAATATTTCATTTTAGAAAGGGCAAGATAGGTGTGGACTTTGGTTAATGTTGTGTGCCTGTCACTTCCCAAATCAGCAGAGGTGGTATATACTGGATGCAGTGTGCACACAGTCTTAAAGTTCTCTGTAGACCTGCACATTTTGCTTTCATCACCATAAGTGAAAGGGTAACAGACTTTTTAAAACAAGTGAAAGTTGAATATCCAGGCTATATTCAGTCGGAATATCCAACAAGAAGCCGGGTGTGCGCTTCTGACCCCAACCCCAACCCCCACCCTGGCCACTCTTGCTTGGTTGCCCTGACGGATGACCTCGGGGAGAGAGGGAGTGTGACCCTGTTGTTCCTACCACATTTCTCAGCTGCCTTTAGATACCATAGCTGCAATATTGGTGTTGCATACATATCACTGAAGGCAGCTGATGCACAAATGTTTCATGCATGCGCATTACTGTGGAAATTGCCTTTACGAAGAAACCTTTGGGGCAGCAACAATGGCAGGAAGAAATATATAAATTGGTCCCCTTAAGATGTCACAGGGGTCTGCTTGCTAAATCAGCATTATTTCTTTAATGCCACTCATGCAATTGCTCACGTGTGCAAATTGCTCCTCTGTCAGCTAGAGCTAGGCCCTTGGTGTGATGCTGCTGCTCTTTTGCTCTTTCCTAACTTCTTGTTCTTTTACAATATGTTACCATCCCCTCTGGAACCAAGGGTGTTCCTGCTAGGACTGCAACATTAGAACAAATTGAGCAATCCCATGTAGAATATGAGGCAATAGGGAGGAATTAGTTATCATGATAGTTTTTGACCACAGTGACGAGCCCATCGTGGTTTTCGGTGAAACCAGAGAATGTTCTTGGGGTTAGCAGGGTGAGAGAGCACCAGTCATCCCTTGCGGCCCATATTTGGCCAGAGAAGGGGCTTCCAAGTATACTGGCAGGAGGTCTTCCTTTGAAGGATGTCCTTTCATGGACAACAGTGTCCGAAGCTGGCAAGTGAGAGTAAAACTGGAGTCTATTCAACCTCTGTTAAAATGCTGAGCAGGCCCCAAAGAGGGAACTGCTCTTGCTGCTACAGGTGAGAATGGAGGCCTCTTAGGTTTTTAGCGTATTTTGGAGAGGAGACGACATAAGAAACTCGTCACAATTCTTGTATATTAAATGATGCTCTCCAGAGTGACCGCAGTGGAGCCATATAGCTCAGGGCTGCCAACCAGCAGCCTTAATCGGTTTGAGAGTTTGCAGGTGTAACTGAACAGAACCAGGAAGATAACACCTCCTTTTAGGTAAAGAGACGCCATCCACTCGTGAGTGCTACCAGTGCATCCTGCGACAAAATGTTGCAGTGCAGAGCGCTCCTAGTCAAGGTGCCAGCCGCACCCTTTTTCAGGAAGCTGCATTCTGTCTCACCCGCCGACAGCCAGGTAACATTCTGTGTCCACTGTGTCTGCTTAGTCCTCCTTTGGCTGGTCATTTTGGGGGCATGGGGGAGCAAGGGGTCCTTATTAGAGTTTTTTTGCACTTCTGCAAACCTCGAGGTTCCCTTAAGCCTCCCGCTTTTGTGTGAATGGTACCATCTAGGCCACATAAGTATAGGAACTTGGAGGATGAGTTGCCTAATATGTATGGAACATAGCTCCCACTGCAGACTGGTGGTGCCAGCAGAGAAGGGGCGTGGCGCCGTTCTGTAGAGAGCATACATGTGCATGTCATGAGCAGCCTCTGGTTCCGCCTTGTTCTGCTCATCCCCTGCTTACTAAGTCCATTATCCTCTCTTTTGTCCAGAAATGTCCACCACTGTAACAGAATGCGGAAACGTGAGGATCATCTCAAAAGTCGTTCAGCCAGGCCAGCAGGAAGCAGGCACAGCAAATACGTCAGGAACTACTGTCACTGTATCACACGGTGCATCAACCTATAGCAAAAATACCAAGAATATGCTTCCCAAGGCCCTTGGGGTAAGGCCCTATAGGCTTGTCAAACTAGGCCCAAATCCCGGAGGGACCCAATGTTCTGTCTCTATAAGGTAGCTTTCTATGTTCCTCATAGTGATGAGGGAGGTGATTAGAAACAGAACAATTTGTAGGTAACGCTAACATGTGGAGAAGGAGAGTGGTGGTGAAGCTGGCAAGGGTTATAGCACTTGTCCACGATTACTGATCCACAATACCATTGTTCTTCCCCTCCAGACTGTGCAGATCGTCGTGGGGGCTATAGAGATATGTTTTGGAGTTGCCCTGACAGTAGCACAAGAAGATTCAAAGACCCTGACTGTGAAGAGTGGGCTCTACTTCTGGTTCGGGATCTTGGTAAGCCGACTTTGGCTGAGAGGCTTGGAGGCTCTTTCACCTACCAAAGCTTCTGGGGAGGCCTCTCTAATTTTAGACACAGAGGCCTAGAGCCACAAAGAGGCTGAATCCTAAACCAAGGTAACCATTTCCCTTTGGGGTATCCATGTTGGTGTGTTGTAGCAAAAACAACAATGAATCGTGCAGCACCTTAAAAGGCTAACAGAAATATTATGGCAGAAGCTTTTGTGGGTTACAATCCACAAAAGCTTCTGCCATAAAAAATTGTTGGTCCTTGAGGTGCACCAAGACATGAGGTACTCATCACCCCTGCCTGTGGCCTTATCGTCTTCCAAAGCAACTACTCTAAGTATTCCCAACTTAAGAATGGAAAGTGAAATACTGGTGGACAACAAAAGAGGTTTAAAGACGCTCTCAAGGCAAATCTTTAAAAATGTAGTATAAGCACTGATAACTGGGAAACACAGGCCTGCAAGCCCTCCAATTGGAGAACAGCCTTTACCAAAGGTGTCGTGGACTTTGAAGACGCATGAACTCAGGATGAAAAGGAGAAATGGGCTAAGAGGAAGTCATGTTTGGCAAACCCTCACTGTGATCAAATCCCACCCGGAAACCTATGTCCCCACTGTGGAAGGACATGTGGATCCAGAATTGGCCTCCACACGGACTCACTGTTAAGACCGTTTTCATGGAAAACAATCTTACTCAGCCACGAGTGATCGCCAAAGAAGAAAACTCAACACCTCTGCCTGTGGTCTGCCCAAGTGTTTGTTCTGCTGCAAATCTATTTGGGGAGATGCCATTCTGTCTAAGAGGTACTTGCATCTTCTTCACAAACAACAGTGTTTGTTTAGTACTCAAGCTTAAGACTCTTTACAGAGGTAGCTTTTGAGTTGGTTCACATGTTACTAACCTCAGTTGGTAATGTAAAAAAGCCTCTGGTTGGCGTGAGCTTAGGAGGTGGTGGGGTTAGAGAAGGTTTTGGCCTTTCTGACCAATGCAACCTGACTTGAGAGTCTCTGTGCTCTAGTTTCTGTATGGAATGAGACTCAGCCTGGTGATTGTTCTTGGTTTTTCCTTCCCTGTGTAGCTCCTGATCTCTGGGTCATTGTTGGTAGAAATGGAGAAAAGAGATCTTCAATGGCTGGTAAATATTCTCCCGGGTATCTTTTTCGAAAAATTGACATGATAAAGGTATGTCTAAAGTTGTTGCCAATACGTCTTCAGGGTTATTTGCTGGGCAAACAGATCCTTGGTTTGTTCTGGCCAAGGCCTTAAGAAGACAAAGCTCAAATATAGATAATTGTTGTAATGGAGGCAAGGTGAAGTTGCTGAGAGGTGGTCAGGTTATTTTCGTAGGATATGTGAGTCAGTTTAACGATTCTATAATACAATCATAATGTCTATGTTGTTGTGAGAAAGTCCAAATTTGGGACATTCACTGCAATCTTTCACAGGCAATCTGCCTAGCACAGAGTGAGGAAAGTGTAGTCCTCCAAATGTTCTTGGACTACAGCTCCCAACATCCCTGACCATTGGCCATTTGGGCTGGGGCTGATGGGAATAACAGCATCTGGAGGGCCACAGCTTCTCCATCTGTGGCCTTAAAAAAAACTTGTGAATATTGGCAATCAGGAAAGCAAACTTCTAGAGCACAGGGATCGCTCAGGAATGCATATGTAGGGCTCCAAAGAAATCAAGGCTTTAAATTCTGAGACCAACTACAGGTGATTACTTTCAGAGACATGGAAGTGATGTAATAGAGCAACTCTTTATTTATTTTATTTCAATGTACTGATATAGGTGAAAGCTAGCTCCGCTGCCAACTTGCTAGTTTGTGTTGCTGCATTGGTTGCTGTAATCCTCCATAGTACTGAGATTGCACAAACCCATCAACAAGGAGACTTGTGTGACGATTCTGATATGTATTATGGTTATTGCTTCAATTCTATTCCGGTAAGTTTTTCCCCATCTCTTCATGTGCATGTAGTAGCAGTCCATAATTTGCTAAAAGTGATCTGATTCAGCAAAGGCTTCAGGCATCTAGAGACTCTTCAGAACTGTTTTGTGCCTAAATGAAATAATTCTGCCTTTGTGTTGTTGTTTAGTTGTTTAGTCGTGTCCGACTCTTCATGACCCCATGGACCAGAGCATGCCAGGCACTCCTGTCTTCCACTGCCTCTCGCAGTTTGGTCAAAAATTCTGCCTTACTGTTGGCTTATAGGAAGCCAAAAATAGCTAATTCACAAGTGAGAGGCTCTACTAACCCTCATAAGACTTTGTCAGTCACCAGCAAGGAGCATAAAGACATGGTGTCTCCCAGTAGATCAAAATTCATTTTGTATAAAATTTATTTTTTGGTGTGATATTTTAGCACACTATGGAGACATAGTGCACCTGTCTGTGGATTAGCTGCAAAGAACAGCTGGCTCAATCACCTTTTCAACTTCAAACAAACAAAATTAAAGAAGTGTCCAAATGAGGCAATGAAATTATTATTATTATTATTATTATTATTATTATTATTATTATTATTATTTATACCCCACCCATCTGACTGGGTTTCCCCAGCCACTCTGGGCAGGTCGCAACAGATTAAAAACAGAATGAAACATCAAACATTAAAAACTTTCCGAAACAGGGCTGTCGTCAGATGTCTTCTAAAGGTCAGATAGTTGTTTATTTCCTTGACATCTGATGGGAGGGTGTTCCCCAGGGCGGGCGTCACTTCTGAGAAGGCCCTCTGCCTGGTTCCCTGTAACCTCACTTCTCACAGTGAGGGAACCGCCTGAAGGCCCTCGGCACTGGACTTCAGTGTCCAGGCTGAACAACGGGGGTGGAGATGCTCCTTCAGGGCCAAGGTTAGTGGCAAGCTTGGAAAGAATGTTGTTTAGTCGTTTAGTCGTGTCCGACTCTTCATGACCCCATGGACCAGAGCATGCCAGGCACTCCTGTCTTCCACTGCCTCCCGCAGTTTGGTCAGACTCATGTTTGTAGCTTCGAGAACACTGTCTAACCATCTCGTCCTCTGTCGTCCCCTTCTTCTTGTGCTCTCAACCTTTCCCAACATCAGGGTCTTTTCCAGGGAATCTTCTCATGAGGTGGCCAAAGTATTGGAGCCTTAGCTTCACGATCTGTCCTTCCAGTGAGCACTCAGGGCTGATTTCCTTAAGAATGGATAGGTTTGATCTTCTTGCAGTCCATGGGACTCTCAAGAGTCTCCTCCAGCACCAGAATTCAAAAGCATCAATTCTTCGGCGATCAGCCTTCTTGATGGTCCAGCTCTCACTTCCATACATCACTACTGGGAAAACCATGGCTTTAACTATACGGACCTTTGTTGGTAAGGTGATGTCTCTGCTTTTTAAGATGCTGTCTAGGTTTGCCATCGCCTTTCTCCCAAGGAGCAGGCGTCTTTTAATTTCGTGACTGCTGTCACCATCTGCACTGATCATGGAGCCCAAGAAAGTAAAATCTCTCACTGCCTCCATTTCTTCCCCTTCTATTTGCCACGAGGTGATGGGACCAGTGGCCATGATCTTCGGGGGTTTTTATGTTGAGCTTCAGACCATATTTTGTGCTCTCCTCTTTCACCCTCATTAAAAGGTTCTTTAATTCCTCCTCACTTTCTGCCATCAAGGTTGTGTCATCTGCATATCTGAGGTTGTTGATATTTCTTCCGGCGATCTTAATTCCAGCTTGGGATTCATCCAGCCCGGCCTTTCGCATGATGAATTCTGCAGATAAGTTAAATAAGCAGGGAGACAATATACAGCCTTGCCGTACTCCTTTCCCAATTTTGAACCAATCAGTTGTTCCATATCCAGTTCTAACTGAAGCTTCTTGTCCCACATAGAGATTTCTCAGGAGACAGATGAGGTGATCAGGCACTCCCATTTCTTTAAGAACTTGCCATAGTTTGCTGTGATCGACACAGTCAAAGGCTTTTGCATAGTCAATGAAGCAGAAGTAGATGTCTTTCTGGAACTCTCTAGCTTTCTCTATAATCCAGCGCATGTTTGCAATTTGGTCTCTGGTTCCTCTGCCCCTTCGAAATCCAGCTTGCACTTCTGGGAGTTCTCGGTCCACATACTGCTTGAGCCTGCCTTGTAGAATTTTAAGCATAACCTTGCTAGCGTGTGAAATGAGTGCAATTGTGCGGTAGTTGGAGCATTCTTTGGCACTGCCCTTCTTTGGGATTGGGATGTAGACTGATCTTCTCCAATCCTCTGGCCACTGCTGAGTTTTCCAAATTTGCTGGCATACTGAGTGTAGCACCTTAACAGCATCATCTTTTAAAATTTAGTTCAGCTGGAATATCATCACTTCCACTGGCCTTGTTATTAGCAGTGCTTTCTAAGGCCCATTTGACCTCACTCTCCAGGATGTCTGGCTCCAGGATGTCTCACTCTCCAGGATGTCTTGGAAAGAATAGTGGTGGTGTTTTATTGAGCTACTTAGTGTGGGGTTGGCCTTGAAGAAATGTCACTTGGTGCAAAACGATGCTGCCACACTTCTAATTGGGACTTGCTGTATCAAGTGTATTATTCCAGCTGCATTGTTACCAAGTCAGGGTGGTGGTGCTAGCCTGGGTCCGGGATGCCTGAAGGATCACTTCATCCCACAGCTGCCTGCCCGTGTACACTCAAGTCTGCCCCTGAGGTCCATGTCCTTCCTGCCCTTCAGAGCCTTTTCAGTTATAGCATTGCTGCTTGGGGGTGACCTTTCAAAAGGGGGCTGTCTTGTGCCTGTCTTTCAACTGGAGATCAAAATCTGATGTTTTGAATGAGCTGTCAGGCTAGAATGGTGTTAACTGGATATCCTTTGGTTTTGATGTAGTTGTGCCATTTTCTTGATGCAAATATATAGATTAAAAGTTATTTTGCATTGTCTTAACATACTACATCTCTGTGGGTCCTGGCGGATCAAAAGCATGGAGTATCAGTACTGAAAATAAATAAAAGCGAGCTTGTTACCGTTCCAGTAGGCACAGAAATAGGAAACATTCTCAAAGGGAAAACGCACTAGCCTACATAAAATGTAGTTGAGGGAAATAATTGATTGATGCCTGGCGGTTATAGTTCCTTAATTACATAATGTGTGTACAGGTCTCTTGCTATAAAAAAAAAGACATAATGTACATGGTTCTTTGGATTTGAAGGTTTATTCCTCCCACGTTTTCCTGCCAAGGGTCCAGTTATTAAATCCTGCTTATGTGATTGGACCCCAAGTATCTGTTTTTTCTGGAGAAAGGGTAGAAGATGGGCGGGGGGAGCTCCTTTGCAATCTTCCTAATTCTCAGGAATGAGGTTAAGGTTATTTAGGGATATTCCTAAACTATCCCTTCCAACAAGGTCTAGAACAAACATTTAATGGAAAGTAATGGAAAACAGTGTGCACACGACACTAGATGCTATCCATTATCTATCCTGTCCTTTCTTATGGTGCACTTTGTATGCACTTTTCACCTCAAACCAGCTTCAATTGATAAAAAAGGACAACCTGGCTGTGTTTTAAACTAGTCATGTGTACACAGCCTAAGTCAACCTTTCAACCCTTAGGCTTCAGCATGGAGACCCTCTTTCGATTTGTTCACCTCACTGTCCCTGGAGGATTTTGTGTATCTTCTTCAGATCTTTCAAATCGGTGTTACTGAAAAGGACCTCACAGGACTTAGCTGATTTGGAAGGTTAACTCTTGCACTTCCAAGCAATTGGGTTTTGATTGTGCTTTCAGTTCTGGAGCTGTATAAATAGCAACCCGTGCAACTGTTTCTTGCCTTTTCCCACAGACGCTGATATATGGTCTGAACGCAGTGTTTATCATCTTTTCGGTTCTTGAACTGTGCATAGCTGTCGCTGCCCTGGTAGTTGGATCCAGATCTGCACAACAACAACTCTATCGGCAGATGGTGAGGGTGAATCCCTGCCTTTTTCTGTCACAGGTTTGCTGTGGCTGGGAAAAACCCACCCCTAAATCAACACTGTTCCTCACTCAGCTATGTGGAAAGAAAATCATAAGCTTGGTAGTAGCCTGCAAATTTCAAATGTGTTCTCTCCTCCCTCCCTGACATGGCTTTGAGTTATGCCCTTTTCCCATCAAATATTGAACAGAATCTGATCTCAATGTAATAATTTCAATTTTTTGTGATCCTCACTTTCCCTCTTTGCAGGGATTTCAGTGGTACCTGGCTCTCCCCTGAAAGGGCTGGCTCCTACATTTCTCTTAGAATAATGGAAGGAGGCAAAAGTTGTGTCTGGGTAGAGGATGGGTAAAGCTTGCAGAGAACAATTACCAACTTTGCTCTTCTTGTTTTTTCCAGGCATCGTGATAAGGCTTCTCTTGGCACTTCTTGGCACACCATTTGCAGCAATTATAGAGGTCTCTCTTGCTTAGAGCTACACAGCTGTGAACTTCTTGCAGATACTTCACCTTTTCCAAGATGGACTGCAGGAATCCTGCTAATCTCTTGCCTGGCTTTCTTTAGAAAGAGAAAACAAACTATAAACTTGCCTGTGACCCTCCTCTATGGGTCCTGCCACATAAGCTGAAAAGAAGGTTTTCCAAATCCAAGACTTCTCTTCACTTTTGTGCATTATCAAGAAAGGGAAATCTCTGTACCTTTTAAAAAGTTTACATTTTGGGCCTTTCCTGTGTGTTCCTGGAAGACAACAGTCTGATCTCTAAATTCTCCTGGGTTTGGTGAGGAGAGAGAGCCCAAACAGATTGTTTGTGCTTATTCCAACATGAAATTTAGGTTTGTGGTAATGAAATGGACACTGTGGTGCTGATGAGACCCATATAAGCACACACTATATTGGAAGGGAAAGTGCTTTGAATTTTTCGAGAAAATACCTAGCTCTTTGAGCTGGTTAGAAAACTGCTTGTGGATCTTCCTGCAGGGAAAACTGTGTGGGTTTTTAATGAATGCACAACACATATTCTTCCACAGGAACAGTTCACATTAAATCAAGCATTCTCACACTGGAAAACATTTCATCAGCATCTCAGCCTGTCTCCAACCAGAGAAGAAAGATAGATTAAGTCTTCGCCCACATACCAAATGCTATATCCCTTTCATTCTTCAGGTTGCCCTGGTACCCTAATGCAGCAATCTTGTACACACCTGGGAGTACATCTCACTGAACCCAATTGATCTTACCTCTAATTAGACATGCATACAATTGCACTGTAATGCTGCAATCTTATGGATGCTTAATCTCGGAATAAATACCAGTGAAGAATGTGACTTCTTTCTGAGTGTATAGAATCAGGGGCAGTTAAGAGAAGAAAAACACAATGTTCTCTTTTACCTCTCCAGACCACAATCAGACTTTCCGATGGGCTTCTGAGCCACAGCATGCAAATGGCTCAGTCACTGGCATCTCCAGACAGAAACTACTGTCTGAAACCTTGAAAATCTGCTCTCAGTCACTTAGACAATAATGAGCTAGAAAGGTCAACATTCTGACTGGTATGAAAAAGCTTCCAATCTTCCTACATGTTGGTTCCCCTTGGTTCCCATAGCGATGTTTTTTAGACAGCTGAAAATCTGCCTGAGAAAATTCACTAGAGGTAAGATTATGATAGCTCACCTCTACTGTAACTGGGAGGCAGTTACTTCATGAAAGTACTCAATAGATTATGAAGGAGATGCTCTTAAAAAAAGTTATGCAGAAACCTCATCTGGAGACTTAAAGGCTGATATTTGAAAGAGAGAGAAATCTGCTTAAATTTGTTTACTTTTGTTACACTATAAAAAGGGATGGGATCAAAGAGTAGTAAGATACACTGATAATGTGTTGCATTTGTAACAACTGAGATGTTGACCAAAGTGGTAAGACAGTGTGACAGATTCCGTATTCATAGCATGCAAACAAGTTTGTCAAAGCTTGTCCACATTGTGATATCATACAGTATTATTTCCAGAGGCAGAAAAAAAATGTTTAAATCTTTGTGGGGCAGTTTGGGCAATCAGCAGAATGAAGTCAAAAGGGCTGTTTCCGGGGGACAAGGTTGAATAGTTCTTCCTAAGGTGCTAGTTTTGTAGTTGCAAGGAATTGTTCAGCTTGGGGAGCATTCGAGAATGCCAGTGCGATCACCACTCTACATCCTAAAAGCATACCTACCAGGTAGGGAACATGTAGCGCTGTGGTCTAAACCACTGAGCCCCTTCGGGTTGCTGATTGGAAGGTTGGCGGTTCAAATCCCCGCGACAGGGTGAGCTCTTGTTGCTCTGTCCCAGCTCCTGCCCACCTAGCAGTTCAAAAGCACACCAGTGCAATAGATAAATAGGTACTGCTGTGACGGGAAGGTATACGGTGTTGCCATGCGCTCTGGCTTCCATCATAGCAGCGGTTTAGTCGTGCTGGCCACATGACGTGGAAAGCTGTCTATAAACAAACGCTGGCTCCCTTGGCCTGAAAGCGAGATTAGCGCCACACCCTATAGTCACCTTTGACTGGACTTGGCCATCCAGGGGTCCTTTACCTTTTTTTACCTACCAGGATAGGCTTTATAACTTGATTTCTCAGTGTATTCACTGTGCTGGGTGTAGGCAGGCCATCCTCTCAGACATATTATTGTTATAGAAAAAAGAGCCCAGAGTGCATATAATGACTGTGCACACTTTAGGAGACATCATCATTATTATTATTTATTGGATTTATATACTGCCCTATAACTGGAGATCTCAGGGCAGTTCACAGAACAAAATCAAAATGAAAAACCACAAAACATATGATCAAAATAAAAACAGCCCATGCATTAGTTTTTCTATTGTTATCCTTTTTTTTTATAGCAGTGAAACTGAAGAGCAAGCACTTGTTTTAACAGAAGATACCAATAAAAGAGAGCCTTTCAATTTATAACCAAGTATATAAAGATGAATTGTTGCATCCATTTAAAGTATGTATGGAAATAAGCTCCTGTCTTAAACTACTGCACATATATATATATATATTGGATAAATATATTTCTGGCATTGTGTGTTTATCAGAATCTTTTTGTGCCCAGTCCAAATCATCTTTCTAGTTTTTATATAGTATCTCAGGTCTGATTATTGAATTGAATGTCGTTATACATCACCTGGCATGTGCCTTCTGCATTCAGACTAAAATATATTTGTCATTTGGTGTGTGAAGTGGTTTGTTAATAAATTTCAATGCTTCCCCGTGGTTTGTTCTTTTATGGATGCTCGTGTGCAGGTTCTGCTACTTCCTTCTGTGGTGTTCAGATCTAGAAATGAAATGTTTATGATTAAAATTAGTGCTGCTGAGAGCTACAGTGAAAACTTTAGCTTACAGCCTCCACTCCTTTTTTATCCTAAAGTAAAACAACTTGTAGATTGCAGCCAAATTTCCTTTTAATAAATAAATCACAACAGTCCCTTTAAGACAGTATGCATACAAGGGTTATCTAGTCCAACTCCTGCAATGCACTGGCGGGTGTGTGAGTGTGTCATCAAGTGTGTCATCAAGGGCTATTTTATTTTTAAAATCTTTTTATTTATTGATTTATTTAATTTTTCGATCATTTCAATGCGCTGCAAGAAGGTGAACTTCCAACCCTTTTGAGTTCGATGTATTTCCGCTGCTGTTGCCCCGCATGTCAAAAATCACACCAAATACAACCGGAAACCGGAACTGTTGTTATGGAACGGGTAAGACCGCATCTCTTCGCAGCCGAAGGACAATTGGCCAATTGCGGTCAGATGGCTGTCTCCGCCCACGTTTCCCTCACGCGCCTGGGCGCAACAAACCACTCGCGTTGCTCTACGCATATACTCGAGGACGAAACGTCATCCGAGGGGGACGTCCCTGTATTTCTCCCACGTGGAGGGAGGCAGAGCAGCAGTTTCCGGGGGAACCGGCGAGCGGGCTATGGCGGCGCTTGTTTCTGAAGCGGAGCCGCTGAGTAAGCAGCCCCCTTCCGATGCTGACCGAGGGGAGCAGGTCCAGCAGCCCGGGAACGGCGAGGAAGCGGCCGCCTCGGTAGAAGCTGGACCAGGGAAACCGCAGGCAGCTGCCCCGGGCACGAAGCGGAAGGAGGCGCCCGCCATCCCCAGAGGAAAGCCTAAATCGGGGCGGGTATGGAAAGACACCGGCAAGAAGCGGTGAGAGTTTGATCTTCGCCTTTAGGCGGCGGGACCTTGTTTTGCGGGACTTACTGCGTTTGCATATGGGGCAAACTAACAAGCAAGTGGCGTGCAGTTAATTTTTGCTCTGATTTTGAAACAAATTTGACTCAGGTGGTTTGCAATGCTTAAATAAGCCCCCTCCAATCGTTTCCACAGAATAGTTCGATTGTTCTACACAGTGTCTTTGCCAGTTTGTGGAGAGCGTGGCCTGCAAAGTGTGTAGCCCCGTCTGATGAACAGGAACTTGAGTTGTTTATTATCATCATCTATTTATTAAGCACCTTCTAAACAACCATATCAAGGTGATGCACGCTAAAAATAACTAAAAATAGTTAAGACGGGGGGGGGAGTGTATATGTTTAAAGCCAAAGCCTATACATTTGAAGCCTTTGTATGGTTTTACGCTCATGGCAGTGGTTGGTAATGGCTCCGTTTTCTCCTTGCTAGGTTTTCTCTCATGACTCTGGATAAGCCTTTGCGTACCTCCTGGGAACGCAAGATGAAGGAACGTCAGGAAAAGAAACTAGTCAAAGATTTTGCACGGCAGTTGGTGGAAGAAAAACGAAAGGAGCGTGAGGTGAGAGAAAATGGTGATATAAAGTGGTCTGTTGAATAGTGGTTCCTAGGTCTGGAAGCAGGCAGGTGGCCTGTTCTGAATAGAGTCGGTCCCCTTCGAAAGAACAGGTGTGTCACCCAAGGATGTGCCTAGATTCATCTTTGTCGCTGGAGACCCAAGTGTCTTAAGTGTCTTAAGGAGTGCCCGCTCTTGACTAGATCGCCAGGTACTGCCATTCCTGGACCTGGGATAGTCTTCTCACAGTAATACATGTTCTGATAACCTCTTGGATTACTGCAGTGTGTTGCATGCGGTGCTGCCCTTGAAGACAACATGAAAGCTACAGTTAGCATACAAGGCAACCCCCTGGTTATTAAGTGCAGCAGCTGACTGAAGCCATACGTGTACTGAAAGACTTGCACTGTCTTTCAAAATATTACTAATCTGAACTCAAAATTTTATTGATATCTTATCTTATAAAATTTAGGACCTAAATACTTAAAAGAGCACCTCCCCACTCCAGTATTGTCCTGCTGACAGGTTAAGATATTTGGATAAGCCCTTCATGTTCAAGGACTATCCATTATGCAATACTAAGTTAGAGGGTCTTCTTTGCTGTGACACATGTCCTCTCTTCTGGGCAGTGTTAGAAACTCAGGTATATAAGCTAATTTTCAGTGCCCTTAAACCTGGGTTACGGTCACCACAACAGAATATCTACGCACCAATTAACTTTATTATTATTATTCATTTCATTTCTGTACTGCCTTATATTTTAAAATAAACTGCTTTGGGATTTTCCCCCAACACATTAAAACATCAAATAAAATAATCCAGAATAAAACAAATTCAAGCTTCAATGAAAATATTTCAGATCCTCTAAGTGACATTTTGCTTTCTGTGGGAAAATGGTTGTTTGTACATAAGAGCACGGACAAAAGCTTTTT